CAGGGGGAGGAGGAGGAGAAGGAGGAGGAGGAGCAGGGGGACGGGAAGAGAAAGAGGAGAATGAGCAGGGGGAGGAGGAGGAGAAGGAGGAGGAGGAGCAGGGGGACGGGAAGAGAAAGAGGAGAATGAGCAGGGGGAGGAGGAGGAGAAGGAGGAGGAAGAGCAGGGGGACGGGAGGAGAAGGAGAAGAATGAGCAGAGGGGAGGAGAAGGAGGGGAGGGTAAGTGGGAGAAGAAGAGAAGAAGCAAGAGGGAGGAGGAGGAAGAAAGGAGGAGAAAAAGGTGATGAGGAGAGGGAGGAGAAGTTGGGGGAAGAGGAGGATGAGGAGAGAAAGAGGAGGAGGGGGAGCGGAAGGAGGGAGTAGAAGAGGTAGAAAATGTGACATCAGTCATTTCTTTCGCTCTCCTTTCCTCTTTCTTTCTCTCTCTCTCTCTTTCCTCTTTTTTTCTCTCTCTCTCTCTCTCTCTCTCTCTTTCTCTCTCTCTCTCTCTCTCTCGTTCTCTCTCTCTCTCTCTCTCTCTTTCTCTTTCTCTCTCGCCCCTAACTCTCTAACTCTTTCTCTTTCGCCCTTAACTCTCTAACACTTTTTCCCTTTCTCTCGCTCTTTCTCTTTTTCGCGCCTTCACTCTGCCTCTCCCTGTTTCTTTCTTTCTCTCTCGCTCTTACTCTCTCTCTCTCTCGCTCTCTCTCTTTTTTTCTTTCTCATTATACTTCTCGTACTCACTGTTAACTACTGTAAATGCAATGCGAATTTCGTTAGATTTAATATAAAAATGAATTATGCTATATAAATCAATGCTGAATTAGTTAATATAATTGTATTATCAGCTTTTTTTCAATATTTTCATCTCTCTTTATTATGCGTTAATTAAATTAAATACAGATTTGATGTATGCATGCCGAGCTTGACTAAGTGAATAATAAATGTATATATTCATAATAAATCATACTAATACGTTCAGTAATCGTAATAATATAATTAAATCGTGGCAACAGTTTAACTTCATTTCGAACTAACAATGCATTAGGGAAATCCTTTCGACTCAACCGAATTAGTTATAAATATTAGATATATTAATGCGAATTTCATACAGTTGTTATTTATTTCTTATTTATTAAGTGGATGTGGCTGTTCCGACACTAATGTTGAATGGTGGCAATGCCACGGCTGGAAACGTGTTGATACATCACGATGGCAATTGGCGCCACATATGCGACGACGAGTGGACGCTTGTATCTGGATACGTGGCCTGCAGGCAGCTTGGATATGTGTAATTTACCTTGTCTCCTTCTAGTTGCCATATTTACTAAAGCTATTCATCTATCGAACTAATAATTATGTTAGCTATCGTTGCTAATGCTTTTATTGTTTTCGCTAATTATTTTTAATTGGCTAAGCGTTCCCAAACCAGATTCGTACTGGCGGTTAGCACCCGAGGCTCGTTCTCGGAAATAAGAAATAGTTATGTCTATCAATAATCTAAGACGTCATAACTTTTCCACGACACCTATAACATTTTGACAGAAATGATGTGACTTTGGCTGAATTTTCGAACGATTTACAAAGAATAGTATACACGTCATAAAACATATACGCTACTCTCGTATCCGAGTGTATCTACGGTTAAACAAGCATCAATGGTGTGTAATTGCCGCACAATCCTACAACTTGTAATTCATCAATATACATACAAATATTGGAAATCGAAGCGTGCAAAAACGGCAGTGCGCTTCCATATAAAAACGCAACCATGCATGCACGTTTATTTTCATGACCACAGGTCCGTTAGTCAGGTGACCATTGGAGCCTTTTTTGGCCAGAGCACGGGCTTCTGGCTGGACGACGTCTCCTGTACGGGAACGGAATCACGCATAGAGAACTGCACTCACGGCGAGTGGGGAGTCCACAACTGCGAAAATAACGAGGCGGCCGGTGTAGTGTGCTCCAACGTCTGTAAGCCGCCTCGAGAATACATCGTATTCGTTCTCGTGTTTTCTTATCGAAAGAGTCGAAAATAATAACGAATCTGTTTCGTCTTCTTCTGTTATAATACTTAGCTCGCCGGCTTAAGAAGCGAACGAGGTTTAAACGCAACTTGCGTCTTCTTACGATATTGACCAAGTTCTTTCGTGTTTTAATGGGAATGAGAGAGCAATGATTTCACGGTAAAAGCGATTTGCCAACAATGCTTGCAGTTGTTCTCGATTCGTAGATGCGCGAATTGTTATATACGCTAGTAGTACTACCATCGCCCACACTTGTCAGTATGTACAGAGTCGGTACCTTTTGCAGCCACGCCATTTGAAATGCAGTTGAGCGATGAACGAGGGGTAACGGGAAAATACTATGGCAAGGTAGAGATCAAATACTTTGGCGAATGGCGATACGTGTGCGACGACTTCTGGGATATGAACGATGGACTGGTTGTTTGCAGGGAGCTTGGGTTTGAGTAGGTATTCTCGGCGACTTTGTTTCGCTATCGCAGTGTGTTTAATACACTTGCTTATTTATTTGTTAGTTGTTTAGATATTCTATTATTATTGATTATATTTACATAAATATATATGTATATATATATATATATATATATATATATGTGTGTGTGTGTGTGTGTGTGTGTGTGTGTGTGTGTGTGTGTAGTGTGTGTGTAGTGTGTGTGTGTGTGTGTGTGTGTGTGTGTGTGTGTGTGTGTACGTACGTAGTATACTACTACTACGTACTACTTATTATTATACGTACGTACGTACCGTAACTAACTAGTACGTTAGTTACCGGGTAGGTACGGTCCGA